GCTACATCCAAGGTGACTAAGGTTCAGCTACATCCAAGGTGACTAAGGTTCAGCTACATCCAAGGTGACTAAAAATAAGCTACATCCAAGGTGACTAAGGTTCAGCTACATCCAAGGTGACTAAGGTTCAGCTACATCCAAGGTGACTAAGGTTCAGCTACATCCAAGGTGACTAAGGTTCAGCTACATCCAAGGTGACTAAAAATAAGCTACATCCAAGGTGACTAAGGTTCAGCTACATCCAAGGCGACTAAAAATAAGCTACATCCAAGGTGACTAAGGTTCAGCTACATCCAAGGTGACTAAGGTTTAGCTACATCCGAGGTGACTAAGGTTCAGCTACATCCAAGGTGACTAAGGTTCAGCTACATCCAAGGTGACTAAGGTTCAGCTACATCCAAGGTGACTAAGGTTCAGCTACATCCAAGGTGACTAAAAATAAGCTACATCCAAGGTGACTAAGGTTCAGCTACATCCAAGGTGACTAAGGTTCAGCTACATCCAAGGTGACTAAGGTTCAGCTACATCCAAGGTGACTAAAAATAAGCTACATCCAAGGTGACTAAGGTTCAGCTACATCCAAGGTGACTAAGGTTCAGCTACATCCAAGGTGACTAAGGTTCAGCTACATCCAAGGTGACTAAAAATAAGCTACATCCAAGGTGACTAAGGTTCAGCTACATCCAAGGTGACTAAGGTTCAGCTACATCCAAGGTGACTAAGGTTCAGCTACATCCAAGGTGACTAAGGTTTAGCTACATCCAAGGTGACTAAGGTTCAGCTACATCCGAGGTGACTAATGTTCAGCTACATCCGAGGTGACTAAGGTTCAGCTACATCCGAGGTGACTAAGGTTCAGCTACATCCAAGGTGACTAAGGTTCAGCTACATCCAAAGTGACTAAGGTTTAGCTACATATTTGGATGAATTCGTTGACACTAATATTAGCATATAAATATGCATTCTTTTTTTCCCACCATGCTCTTGGGGCTTTGCGTTCTAATAGTGATTAATAAAATGTGATCAGATAGCATCTCTGTCCTTAATCAGAATAATTAAGGATGGGGCCACGATGCAAGTTGACCTGGGTTCAACTCCCAGCTTCCTCACTTCCTCGCTCTGTGAATGTCAGAAAATTACTTAACTATTTAAGTCTCAATGTCCTTATCAGTAAAATGTGAGTAATATAATGTTACCATATAAAGTATTATTGGCATTATTAAGATAAAATATAATATAAAATGCTAGTATAGTCCTTGGGGAAAAGGACATATTTAAAAAGGGTGAATAGTAATAGAAATGATTATTATTAAACTTTTACATACTTTCACTATAGCTTTTAGCATATTACATTTTATTTAGTAATTCGCATGCTAAATTAGGTCTTCATGCTATAGGTGGCGGAAGCATACGGTGTCTGTAGTCACAACAGTGTTTAAAATCCAGGGTAGACTTTGAAATGTCACTTGTTCATTATGAGTTTCTTGCCTGACTGACTTCTTATACGTTCAACTTCCAAACTTTTTCTCTGAAAGATTTCTCTTCTTTGTCTCATGTGGCCTTAAGTGCTGTCATGAGTCAAAGGACCTGGGAGCTAAAAACAAGTGAAGAGGACTCTTAGAGTCTTCAACATTCTAGATGAATCTGGACTGAACCTACTGAGAGATGCTACAGATCTCTGTAAATTTCTTTCTTCCTGTACCAACTGTCAGTCTCTGGAAGTCCATAAGGTGTGTGTGTGTGTGTGTGTGTGTGTGAGAGAGAGAGAGAGAGTGTGTGTGTGTGTGAGAGTGTGACAGTGAGTGTGAGTGTGAGTGTGTGAATGTGTGTGTGACAGTGTGTGTGAGTGTGAATGTGTGAGAGAGTGTATGTGTGAGTGTGAGAGTGTGTGTGAGAGTGTGTGTGAGTGTGTGTGTGAGTGTGACAGTGTGTAAGTGTGTGAATGTGTGAGTGTGTGTGAGAGTGTGACAGTGTGTGTGTGAATGTGTGAGTGTGTGTGTGAGTGTGTGTGAGAGTGTGACAGTGTGTGAGTGTGAGTGTGTGAATGTGTGAGTGTGACAGTGTGTGTGAGTGTGAGTGTGTGAATGTGTGAGAGAGCGAGTGTGTGAGAGAGCATGTGAGTGTGAGAGTGTGTGAGAGAGAGTGTATGAGTGTGTGAGAGAGTGTGACAGTGTGTGAGAGTGTGTGTGAGTGTGTGAATGTGTGAGAGTGTGTGTGACAGTGTGTGTGAGTGTGAGTGTGTGAATGTGTGAGAGAGCGAGTGTGTGTGTGAGAGCGTGTGAGTGTGAGAGTGTGTGTGAGAGAGTGTGTGTGAGAGCGAGTGTGTATGTGTGTGTGAGAGTGTATGTGTGTGTGTGTGTGTCTAAAACGTTCCTCTCCCACTGAACGTCGTTTGATGGAGTTATACTTCACCCAGACGGCTCCACTAAGAAGAAGTAATGGAATCTTTCAGGAGCCATATTCCTTTTCCATTAGAAAAGTAATTTTAGCTCCAGACACTCAGTTTCTGAAATCAAGATGCTGACTTGAAATGTGTAGTCCTCAGATGCAATGTGTGCACTGAAATGGTGCTAAGTATAGCTCTGGGCCAGGAAGAGAGGCTCATATATCCTGTATCTAACATGATTCCAACCACAGCACCACCACAGCTAATAAAATTAATAGCATTCTGCTGAGCCCTGCATTGCACCAGGATAGATGGCTGCATGGGTGCTTGACTTCATTTATTTATTCATTTTATGGTAGATTCAAGGAACAGGGGATTCAAAATAAAGGGTGCTAGGAGTCTTCAAGATGGCTGGAAGGACCCAGTTCCTCAAAAACCTCACCCTTGCATATTCTACCCAGCACTGATGTGTTAGGTTACAGGTCGGCCATTTGCCTCACCTTTCGGCAGCCTCAGCCACACGGCAAATGAATTATTTTTATCGAATCAATACCTCTCTGAGAAGGGCAGCATTGATAGAACAGCTCACTCGCTGTGGAAAGGTGAACTCCGATATAAAGACTGGACTTGAGTTTGCAGAGGAGGGGGCACAGCCAAAACAGAAGGCAAAGGAAGGTGAAAGGGCGTTGGTGCTTTTTGAAAAACACAGATGAGTGACTGAACCAAGGGGCAGCTGAGGAAGCTTCAGCAACCCCCAGTAGCCATCATCCTACGTTCCCAACACCACCCAAGGAAACACACAAACTAACTCAGGAGTTTCAACACTGGCTGCAGGTCAGAATTGCCTGGGGAGTTCTAACAGGGACACAAGGTCGTTGAAGCAGGAGGTCAGGGCACAGGCTCAGCTTCCCGGTTTATTTTTTAAGCTCCCAGGGTGATTCCAATGTCCAGTCGGGCTATGACTCACAGGTCTTGGTGAATGCGATATGTGTACACTGCAGTCACAGCTTCAAGGCAATTCTTCTTGACCCTTCTTTTAACCAGATGACCACTCCTATCTTCAGCCAATGTAGACATTGTGGAGTCAGCAACGGCGCTAATGGCCTTCTTTTCTGAGATGTGAGTTAAAGCTGTTGGGAGTAGGATAGTATGCTGGAAATCCCAGTCTCTTTATTTCAGGCAAATCCGGCCCCTTAAAGATAAAAACTTGCGAGTCCTTGAACTAAGTGACAACTATTCAGCCATTTCTCCTTCAAATTTTGACTGAGCATCTTCTTTGAGTTGGACACTGTTTGAGATGCTTCACCCACATCTCACTAACGTTTGTACCTACATACCAGGTATTATTGTAAAGCTGCCAACTTCCAAAATCCAGACTCTCTTCCCTCCTCTCCGCATGCACAGCCACATCGTATTCCAAGCCACTGCCACCTTTTCATCAGGACTATCACAGTAGCCTCCTGCCTAGTACCCTGGTTTCAACCTTGTCCCCTTCCAATCTATTCTCTATCTAGTATCCAGGGTCATCTTTGGAAAGCAGAAAGAGGCTTGCTTAAAAGCTATCAGAGGCTTCCACTTCTCTTGGGATAAAAGCTAGACTCCTTTCAAAGCCCTGCCAAGTCCTGTGTGGTTCAGCTCCTGCTCCTACCCCACCTTCCTCGTGTGCCCCCTTCCCCTTGCCCACCAGGCTCAAACCACACTGGCTTCTCTCCACTTTGAAAGCATCCTAACAATTTTTCTCCTGCCTTATGCCATCAAACATGCTTCTTCTCCATAGAATGTGTGCCCTCCCTCCACTCTTCAGGGCTCGGCTGGAATACCACCTGCACAGAGAAGCCTCCCTCTTCAGCTCATCTCAGCCCGATCCGATTGTTTTGTATCACTCTGCCCTGTTTGTTTCCTTCCTCACACTTACCATAATTTGCAAATATTTATTGTAGAGTTATGTCTCTGTCTGTTTCTCCCACTAGGCTGCCAGTGTGTCAACGACCAGGGCTTCATCTCTTATATTCATAAAAGTACCCACAGTGTCAGCACCATGCCCAGTACCTCACCATTTTGTAACAAATATTTTTTGGATGAATAAAAGAATCCATTTTACAGATGTCAAATAAGCTAATTAACTTGCCTGAGGCAAAAGAGCTATTAACAACTATTATAGGAATCTCTCAGAGGGAAAAAAAGAAAAACATGCTACTAGGCTTTGTGTAACAATCTCTTTAAAAAAAAGGATCATGTTTTTCCTGCAGACCTTAAATGACTGTAATTGTCCCGAATCTCCTTTGCTTCACACATAACCCAAGCCACAGCTATGACCATCCATGAGTTGAGGATATCCAGCTGGTAGTTTGAGGTCGAGAGGATTTTGCAATAGTGGAAATCCTTAAATTGCTTAAATATGCTTGTCACAAAGCATTTATCTTAAGTGCTGTGTACCTTGCCCAGTGGGAAGCCTCTGTGTTTTATCAAGTTGCAATCCAGCTGGGCTACCAATGAGATTTTCCTTTGGCAAGGGGGCAAGTGGCCATTCATGTCAGCATCCACAAGCTTCCTCCAGTGCAATCTTGGGCATTGCAAGAAACCTCTGATGGGTGGACCCACCGGACGTTCTTACCTGCACAATTCTGCTGAGGCTCCCAGTGGACTTTGATGCCCTCTCTCTGGCAAGCCCGGGTATATGCCAGGAATGACTCGCAGTAACAATTTTTATGGACTGGACATTCACACATGTCTGTCACACAGGACCTACAGGACCCAATAGAGAGATGCAAACATTTAAAAATATCAAACCATAAACCCTCTAAATGTAACTTCAGAAAAGGTTGTAGACAGGGAAACCTGATTGGCTTATTAAAATTTGCTATTTTGGGTTAGAAACCTAAATTGGCAAAATTCTGCATGAAACTTAACTACTGGATACCTCTGAACAGTGTGATACTAGATTTCCTTTCTTCTAGAGCAAGATTATCCAATAGAACTTGCTGTAAGGACAGACATGGTCTGTCATCTCCACTGTGCAAAGCCACTGTCCGTATTTGGCTACTGAGCGCCTGGAATGTGGCTTCCGAAACTGAGGAACCAAGTTTCTAATTTGCTTTAATTTTAATTAACTTAGATGTAAATAGCCCGATGTGCCTGATGGTTACCGCACTGGATACCATTGCCATCTTGTGAGGAACACTGATTTTACCACAATGTTTCCAAAAACGGTGACCAACTGGATGAAAACACAAAATCCTGTAGCTTTCTGAAGACAGACAATTAGAATTCACTTCTGTAATATCTCAGAATCCTAGTCTTTTAAGGAACACTGAATCTTCATTCTTTAGAATATGAAGTGACAAATTCTAAATAAAGCAAACATTTCAGGGCTGTAATTAGACTGCATGATAAACAGGATTGAATTAAGGCCTCCACAGCTGAAACGTGGAAACGATGGACCCACAGCTGAAACATGGAATGATGGACCCACAGCTGAAACATGGAATGATGGACCCACAGCTGAAACATGGAAACGATGGACCCACAGCTGAAACATGGGAACGATGGACCCACAGCTGAAACGTGGAATGATGGACCCACAGCTGAAACATGGAAACGATGGACCCACAGCTGAAACATGGAATGATGGACCCACAGCTGAAACGTGGAAATGATGGACCCACAGCTGAAACGTGGAAACGATGGACCCACAGCTGAAACGTGGAAATGATGGACCCACAGCTGAAACGTGGAAACGATGGACCCACAGCTGAAACGTGGAAACGATGGACCCACAGCTGAAACGTGGAAACGATGGATCCACAGCTGAAATGTAGAATGATGGACCCACAGCGGAAACATGGAATGATGGACCCACAGCTGAAACACGGGAACGATGGACCCACAGCTGAAACATGGAAACGATGGACCCACAGCTGATACATGGAAATGATGGACCCACAGCTGAAACGTGGAATGATGGACCCACAGCTGAAACATGGAAACGATGGACCCACAGCTGATACATGGAAACGATGGACCCACAGCTGATACATGGAAATGATGGACCCACAGCTGAAACGTGGAATGATGGACCCACAGCTGAAACATGGAAACGATGGACCCACAGCTGAAACGTGAAAACGATGGATCCACAGCTGAAACATGGAAAAGATGGACCAGGACATAAATTGAATGGGAATTTGTTTGAATGCAAGCTAACAAATTTGTAAACATGTTGACCACAAAGTCATAATAATGGCCTCACATTAGTACATACTATTACAGTTTACAAAATGCTTTCACATCCACCCTGTCACTGAATGGTAAACAAGGCATAGTACGGTTTCTTGTTCTATAAATGAAGGGGTCATTTTACAAATAAATACATGGGCTCAAAGTCAGCACTTTTAAAGGGAAAAAAGCAAATTAAATTATACCTCCCAGCTTTGAAAGTAGTGTCCTTTTTATTATACCATACGACTCTCCTCTTCTTTCAGCAAATTTACTGCCTAACAGTTTCAAATTAACACTTATGCAAGAGGCCTCCAAGATTAATAAAACTACACTTATATTTTTCATAACCTTATTCAGCAAACTCCCTTCCTCACAGAAGCTATTTCAAGGCTGAACACAGAAAAAATAACATCCAAGTGTACAAGCTGCTCTTATGATCTTGAAAAGTGATCGTGACACTGTCATTGGATGTTAATAATGTCATTTTCCAAAGGGGTGGGACCTGTGTCAAACAGCGAAAACCAGATTCAAGGAGCAAGATCCACAGTGAACCCTGAAAGTTACTGCAGCCTAACACTCAAGGGCACAGCTTTTGGGAAATAGGAACTAACACGGACAAAAGAACAGATCTAAAGAGCCTCCTTCCATGCCATGGACTAAGAGGTTATTTGATGAGTGATACCTAAGACACAATAACCAGGACAAGTGCTCTTTTTTTTCTTTGTAGTAATAACAAAGTTGTGCTGGTTGGTTGTTTGTTTTGAGATGGAGTTTTGCTCTTGTTGCCCAGGCTGGAGTGCCATGGTGCAATCTTGGCTTACTGCAACCTCCATCTTCTGAGTTCAAGCAATTCTCTTGCCTCAGCCTCCCAAGAAGCTGGGATTATAGGAACCTGCCACCATGCCTGGCTAATTTTTAGTATTTTTACTACAGATGGGGTTTCACCATGTTGGCCAGGCTGGTCTTGAATTCCTGACCTCAGATGATCCACCCGCTTCAGCTTCCCAAAGTGTGGGATTACAGGAGTGAGCCACTGCACCCGGCTCAAGGTTGTATTTCTTAATATTTTTTCCACTTTTGTCACAGAAATTCTAGGAAATCACCTTCACTAGCAAATGCATTCAGGCACTAAACACACAGTACTGTCTTTACACTGAGCACTGGAATTCCAAAGAGAAGCCAAATGAAGCTTGTCCTTAAAATGGCGTCTAAACACCGATGAATGGCTCCCCCTCAATGCCATTTCCCTTTGTTGTTTCAATTTTCATCTCAGAATAACCCACACCCATCGTATTCATGCTCAGACTTCACAGCAACATTTTTGGCTGCCCCAGGTTCTAACCTCTTCACTTCCCCAGTAGGATTTGTTCCCCACCCTCTCTCCTGGCCCATGGGGGTGGGTCTCTTTCTATACACAGCTCCCACTGCCAAGACATGGACGGAATGCCATCTCAGGGGCCTAGTAAAATGATGGCACATGTATGGGAAAAGCCTGGTCTCAGTGTGAGGAAATGTGTACTCAGGTTTGAACAAATGTCTGCTGTAATTCTGTAAAATTCCATGGACAATAAACAAATAAAATGTAATTTATTTTGGTAAGGGGATTGTTGGTGAATGTTTTCCTTCTTGTCTCTTGATTTCCACTTGCCTTATGAAACTATTTACACAACTGAAGATATAGACAGCTAAATCCAATTCACTGAGACTGTTAGAGAGAATGTTTTAGGCACACATTTAATAATCAGTGTACATATTCTTCCCTTCACCCACAGACAGGCCCTTCTGTCTCCACAGACACAGTCAGTGATACACCTTCACTGTAAACCGAAGGAAGATGTGAGCTTTTTACATGATTCACCACTCACTCGAGGGGAGCAACATATGAGAGAAAAATTTTTGTCCAAGCCAGTGCTTTAGTTGAAAATGTTTTATATATTTTTAAAGACTTGAAATATGCGTTTTGTCACGGAAGTTGAAGATTCAAGCGTTGTTTTTCAGTTAGCAAGCTAATGATCTTTACACAAGATTATGAACAGAGTTTGTGAGAGAATGGAGAAGTAGCCAGCCCCCTGCTCCGCTGGCAGAGGTGTGAAACCGCCAGCTCTTACACAGAGTGTTTTCCACGGACTGTCTCCTGCACTCCACGCAGCACTGGGATATGACGCAGAGACTTCCACTGCTTCATGTGATAGATGGGGAGACTGAAGCTTGAAGAAGTTAACTTCCTCAGTGTCACGTGGGTGATCATAGATCCAGAACTGCAAAACTAGGACTACACCTTGGTCCTTTCTGATCTCAGAGCCCATATCCACAGTAACTATACATTAGATCTTTCCAGAGAGCAATTCAATTGAGTAATATTTATAAACAGCCCAGAGAAGGTTCTTACTCTGATGAAAATTTTACACCTAAGAAAACAGTAATGCACATGAACATAGGCTTCAAACCTAGGAATTTTCATCACAATACTATTTAAATTGAAAAAGAAAACGAAAATAACGGGAATTGTCTATAATAAGGGCCCAGTTAAATAAATTCAGATGACTTCTCTGATGAAACACCCTACAGCCATTACAATGATGTTTTGGAAACAAATTTTTAAATATGAGAAAATGTTCAGGAAGGATTAACTGGAAGAAAAAGGATAATAAAACTGTGTTTCAACATCATGTAATCACACAAGGAAAACAAGAATAACTGAGAACAGATACAACCAGATCCAACAGACAGCTCGGGGTGGTGGATTGCGCTTCTCTTTAATTTTCTTACCTGTATTTTCCACAGTGAATACATATCACTTTTCTAAAAAGGTAAACATCACAGTTTACTATTAAAACTACACAAAACAATATCATGAAATATATTAATATTTAAATCAGAATTTAAGAACGATAGTGGGAAAATGGGGAATGGGAGAAAATGAGAGTGTCTATTTGTAGGTCTCAGTTATTCAACATTCCTCCAGCTAAAACCTTCCCATTCTGTGCCCTGACAGCCTCCTGATAGAGATTTCAGCTGGATTCACTCTGTGTTGCTCTCACACTTGCATTTCATTGGAACAGATAATGGAATAATTACGCATGCTTCTCTCACACCTGCATTTCATTGGTCTCCTGATGTGGTGGTGGAACAGATAATGGAATAATTACGCGTTCTTCTGCTGCGTACAAAGGTATTAAGAGAAAAATAAAAGCATCTTCAAATGCACTTCAAATTTTAGGGAGGGATTATTCAATTCGTGTGTATCACACTTAATAATTCAGTGTGAGGAAAATCTGATTTGTGACACAGTGAAGTTTGAGTTTTTCTGTGTTTATGGAAGACTGTTGTCCTTTCCTTAATCAGTATGCACCCACAGTTTACATTTATATTCATTTATAGAATAAGTAGCAGAATTTTATCACTCCTGGTAGTGATAAAATTTATGGCTTTGGTGTCTCCAGTCTCATGACATTGTTCTGTCATAATTATGTTGTTTGATGGTGAGTTGGTCAAGAAACACAGCCACCCACTGCTCCAGTGGGAAA